CAAACCCGGGTGCCCCCTAATTTTTTACAAAAACTTTATTTGCCATAGTAAATTTCAGCAGATTGGCAAACCTTTGTTCACATAGAACATTCTGCACATTCTGCTCCTGTCCTGTTTTCTTATGAAAATAAATCAATTGGAGTCCCTCACTTTCCAGGTCTGAGGGGCTTTTAGCAGTCACATGACCAGAAAATATGAGCGTCAGGACAATTCCAAGTATACGATAAAAATGAGATAGGCATACCATTTTTCTTTTTCTTTTTTTTCAAAGATTATAATCCGACGATCCAAACCATTAAAATGGGTGAAATAGAATTATTAATTATTAAATGTTGTTTCTCTCTGTTGTGCGAGCTTTTGCATACCTCCGAGAAATTGATGATTAATAAGATAAAAGTGAAATTATATTTTAAAGGATTGGAAAAACCTTTAAAAAAAAACAGCAAATGTGAGAAAAATAATTATCAGTTTTACTGGAGTAGACAAACATTTTAGGAATTCATATGCCATTTGTTGAAGGCGTAGATTGTCTGCAACAGCGACAGTGGTTCTTGCCTTTATTTTTTATTTATTTATTTTTCGAGTGATTATAAACTAATTTTGTTGGTTGGAAAATTAATGGCTTCCCCCGGGAAAGCAATTTGTATAAAATGAAAAAAGGTAACAGGGGTCTTCGTCTTCGGAAAATGCACTGGAAGTGGCAAAATGCACGTGCATGCACGCTGCAGTAACATTTACTGAGGAAGAAATGTGAACATACCATGCACTTTTAGCTAATTAGTGACCGTAAGGCCATTACAACGAGTCTTCTATGACCCTAGAAATGGGGAACTTCTCAAATAAATTCGCATTTCGACACTTAGCCACCGGCACCGGTGCTACGTCCAGCTCCTCTGTTATCATGTCGGCCATCGAAATGTCAATAAATTGGATCGAATACCAAGAAAATTATTAAGACATATGAATTCCTAAAAATATAAGATGGCGAGAATCACCCATACAATCATTTATGTACCATCAACCATCTGTAATTAGTTATTCAAAACTTCAAAACTTAAAAGTACATCACACCTTGAAGCTGCTGTATTGCTTGTTATTTGGTCGTCAGATTTTTTTTTTTAAGTATAAGAATTGGGGATACTTGATGATAACTGACAGTCTATTTAACTTAGTACATTTTTTTACACAAAAAAGGAAAGTTTGCATTTTAATGAATGTATTTGATTTAAGACATATTTATTTATTTTCAATTAAATTTTCTGATGTGATTGTTTCGCCCAGAACTTTTTGATAATCCAAGGATTCCCAAAAGCTTCTCTTTTCCAAACTAGTAAATGTTCACAGAAAATATCTACAAACTTTTGCTGATAAACTCACTAACTTAAAGAAACTACGTGCAACTCGGAATCCGAGCAAAATATTCACGTGTTTGTTTTCATGTTGTATCTACAATCAACAAACGGTGTGGACGATTTATAATTTACTCTCATTCATTTGAATGTCGAGCACCGGGCGATTCTCCCTATCGGCAAAATTGAAATGGAATAAGAGTAAAAATAAATTGAGACAAATACGATGCACGTACTGAGCAAGCTGAAAAAGTATATGATTAAAATTCGCCCGATTGACAGAGAGAGAAAAAAAGATGAAAGTAAGCAGAGGAAAATTAATCCCTCACTCCTTCTCCGCCTCCTGTGCTGAAAAAGTATTGAACGTTAGCTAAAATGTTAATAACAGCAAATATTTACTGCAATTCGCATGAAAGAAAAAGAAAGTTAATACTCTGGACTGTCTTTAGGGCGATATGAAGAGGAGTATCTGCATTTCCTGTAGGCATTCCTTCTGAAAGAAAAATATTCTGTGACTTAATAAGTCACTCTCATCCGCCCAGCTTTAGGTCTAGCGTTTATTAACTTCCGGAAGAATGAAATGCAGTTCTGGTTTTTTTGTGAACAATATCTAATGAAATAGTGAATGGCTACAGGAAATGCAAGGGCTGTCATGATTGATAAAATACCACTCAACAAATCTTTGGAATACAAAGAATTAACGAATAAAAAAAAGAATTTGCATTTATACGGGCAAAAATTTATGGCAATTGAAAATAATACTACAGAACGGTTGGCGTGAGGCTTTCGCTGGCGTAAGCTGAGATTTCCGCCTTAAGAAATAAGTTCCTTTTTTGGGCTTCATTTTTTGAAAACAGAAAAAATTTATCAGTTTTTTTTGTAACTGAAGAATTTCCACGTTACAGAGAAAAATAGCTATGATGTTTACGGAAATGTGGCATGGTTTTTATAATGGTAAAATGAAGCACGAAAGAACATTTTAAAACGTTATACATGTGCTAAAGTCAGTATGGTTGGATATCCCCTAAATAAAAAAGTAATACCCAATTCAAGTGTTGAGTAATTAAATGACAACTTTGCAATAGAGATGCACGGAAATCGCAGGAAGCGCTTAGCGAAAAGCCTCGACTGTATTGTCAGGATTCAGGTAGATTCCTAATAGTAATGTATAATGGTCACTTTTAACATAAAATTCACTTCATTTACATACTTTTATGGAAAGAAGTTTGAGAAACTTTCAACTTATGAGCAAGACTGGCAGTACAGGGGCTCCATTTCCACCGAATCTTACGGGAAGAAGTTGTTAAGAGATTTGCTTAATTTGCTTCAGTTTGAGGGGGGGAGGGGGGCAGCAGCAAACCCTCACATGTGTACTAAGAATGACCAATACTAAGTGAAAAAGATAAAATTTGCAATGCAAGGAGAATGCCGCCCCTTCCCTCCAAATGGCGCCCCTGTGCCGATCTCATTTTATTGTGAAAGTTCCTGTGACAAACCATAAAATGGTATAAAGTAGGACAAGACCGAACGACTTGGTCAAGCATAGGAAACTTGAAGTAAAAATAAAGGTCAAGGTGGGAGTAATCTCTGAGCGAGCTGTCATGTTAGGAAAATGACGCTAGATCTCATAAAAGCGACTCTATCATAGTGACGCGTTTCCTCAAAGTTTTGAAAAAATTTAAACGTCAATAAAAGACAATTTATAAGGTATCTACATCGACAGTGTACAATTTTTCTCTCGGAATGATGACCAATTACAGGGTGTCTACTAAAACAGGCTGGTCAAAAATAGATACTTTTACGGTACTTTTTCAGTACATTCTCAAGAAAGTCAGTACCTCCTCTGACAGAAAAATTCTGTATTTTTACAGTACCTCCATTTGACGAAATTCGAAAAATTTCAAAAATTTGTCATTGCGCCAAAAATGACAAAACATTAAAAAATTCCGGACCTTTTTGCGGAATTTCCGCACTTTTTTAGTACTTCCGAACCGCCCTAAAAAAATCAGTACTATTTCCGGAAATTCCGGACTTGTAGACACTCTGCATTAACTTTGCTTCCCTACAATTCTAGTACGCGATCAGGACTTTTACTTCAAAAATGTCAATTTTTATAATAGAGTCTCGTGTGACGGAGGGAAGTTTTTTGAAATGAGATAAAAAGTTACATTGTAAAACCGGGGCCGTAGAATCTTTTAGTTCAACGGCGTGACGTCAATTAAGCAAGATAAATCACAGAGGTCAACGATTCCTGCATCCTGGTGGCGGTTGACACAATACGTCGCCCCCGTGATGTAAGGACCAGTGGCGTGGCGTGAATTCCGATGTATCGATTGTTATACCGTTTAAACCTACGGTAAAGAATCGATTATTAAGGTGTTCGCTGCGAAAACCCTGTTTATCGATCCTTTTCCATAGGTTTAAACGGCATAACAATTGATACATCGCAAAGCACGCCACGCCACTGGTAAGGACGTATCTCGATTTCCGCAAGAGCCCCAGAAAGCATGGGTTTATATGTAGAACAAGGCTCACTTGGAAATTGAGATACGCCCTTGCGTCAGAGGAGCGACGAATAATGGAACCGAGTTCGAGAGTGAGATCAACCCACACGAAGTTGAAACTAAGAAAAAGTTGTTTTAGTTTTATTCCTCCTTGAGACTTAACACACGGGATTTCGTCTTTGGGGGATTCAGTCCTCCTCACGGAGACTATTTTTACAGACTGGCAATTTTTCTCAAGCTGGCTTAAAATATCGAAGTTTGGATTGGATAGTAGACATGCTCTCTGATATCTCAAATAAGAAGTTGCGCGGGGTCTAATTGAACTTCATTTATCAATAAGGAACTACTTCTTGTGGCTCATCCATGAAAGCGCCTATATGCATGGAGCATCCTATGGTACAAATGGACCGCGTTTAACAGTGAAGAACCAAGCCACATCAGCTGTTGCCAAATTTAACTGGCCAAGTCAATTTTTTACGAGAGAACGTTTGTGCGGATTCTTTTGAAAATTTTAAGGAATTTGCGCCGTACTATGGACAAAATTCACTGAAACTTTCACGAAAATCCGCCCAACCGTTTTCATGTAAAAAATTAATTCGTCCAATTAAATTGGGCAATAGCGGATGTGGCTTGGTTCCTTTCTGTTTAACGCGGTCCAAATGTCGTTTCCCAAATGGACGTCTCAATTGGTACGGAATTTTGGCAGGAATTTGAGAATTTTTTTATATTCTAAAATTTTTTATGCAATATTTAAGAATACTTTCAAAATAGTTTGTTCTGCCTGAATGGGATATAACACACCCATTTTCCCCCGGTCGCTTCGAAATAGGCGCAGGTCACCCTTTCCGATAATCTGGTCGACCGTGAGGAAACCGAGGTCACTTGATCGTAGAGTGCAGGGCTGCAGTGACGTCATCACTAAGACAATCAATGGAGGAGAAGCACGAAGCGTTTCGCCCCTTGCCCTTCGTCTGCTCTGTTTACTTTGTGACGTCACTCCTGCCCAAGACTGCTCCCACCTTGCCAGTCCTGGCCAAACGGTTCAATCAACCCTGTCCAGTCGAATCTCGAAGAAAAAGCGGGTGGTGCCGAGTGGGGTAAAAGTGTGTAGGGGGCAATAGCAAAAATATTGAAAAGAGCGCATTACCTCTTCACATAGTGCCAGCATCCGCCTTGTGCTTTCCAGGGACTGTAACACAAAAAATAAGCGAATTAATTTAGATACAAAGGTACAGATAAGAAAGCTAGCAGAGTGAAGGAAATGAGTGGTGGAGGCCCGGCGTTACTGATACCACTATTACGGCTCCTACGAGCGCCTTCTGCATACCCTGTTAGATGAAGGCGAAAGTTCTGCAAACGATTTACTACGGGAGCTCTGAGCTAGTGCAGAAGCTACACAACAAATTAGCATTTTTTCCTGACATTTGGGTGACTCTAGATTTTTAACCGCAGGTTGCCACAAAATTAGGGAAATGGAGTTCCCTGACATTTTCCTGATTTCCCTGACATATTTCAGTTAAATTCCTTGACAATTGAGGACTTGCCATGCGGCCAAACATACATATTTTGAAACAGTTTCCAAACAAATTTTCTTGTTTCAGACGTCGAATTCATTCTAGAAAACGAATGAAGGTAAGTTAAAAATTTTTCCCTGACACATTCGACATTTTCGGTCACGTCTCCCGTTTTTCCCTGTCTTTTTACAATTCCCTGACATTTCCCGGAATTCCCTGAATGTGATCATGCTACTTAGAGGGAGTGCGTCCACTTCCTGATGAGCCCTGAGATCATAATGTCAAGAATTTCAGAATTTTCCCATTCACTGATAATTCCCGATTTCTGGAGACGAATTCCTGATAAAACTCGGGGTTTTCTGTCAATTTTCCCCAGATTCTCCGCTAGACAAATTAAATTTTTCCCGGAGGATGAGGAAAATTCAAATCTTCATCTTCTAAATATAATAGCGCGATATCAGGTCGACTGGTCGAACCACGAAATGCATGAAAAAAATTATCTCAAATCGGAAAGATTCCTGGTATTCTAGAGAAATTTCATGAATTCTTTCATTTTCTCAGAAATATCTGTTCCCCAATAATTGCAGATATTTTCAAAGTTCTTGACATCATATCTGAGATGCACGTTTCCTTACATGCATCGCATGTCTCCATTATAAAACTCTAATTTCCATGAAATTCGCCGATGTCCCAATTTTCTCCAACTCGCTCACCTCGACAAGAAGAATTACTACAAAAGAAAGGAGTCAAAGACTTTAATTTTCGCCCCTCCTTCCTTTCCATCATCCAACAGATGACTGACCCCGCGTTGAACCCGCGAAAAGCCCGGGTCAGGGATGAAGTTGCGAAGTTCAAGCGCCGTATCGGAAGCAAAACAGACGGGCATCAATGAATCCGCTTTGCAGCAGCGCTGTTGCCACACATCCGTCCATTCCTTTCCGCGAGCGATGAGTCACTCGACACGAGGGTATTTCACAACCACCAGCAACACTCAGCCGAGATAACCGGCATTATGGATAAGTTTACAACCGGAGTGGAAGTTCACCGAGACCAGAATCGTCAGCTATCGACGTTTCCCCATTTGAAGCTATGTTAAGGAATCGATTATCAGGGCGCTCTCGTCTAACATCCTGGTGATCGATACTTTACCATGGGTTTAAATGGGGGATTCATCGATTTATCGCAATGACCGAGGTCCCGCGACGGGGACGAGGACGGGGTAGGGGCGCGCTCTAGCGGAATGCCAGGTGGTGCATCGTCTGCCCTACTGAGAGAAGAGTGCTGTATGCTTTGAAGGTCATGCCATTAGCACACCCGCGGAGATCGATACCGACTGAGCGGCGTTGCTCCTGCCCTGCCAAAAGAAAAGCCTAGATTCAGGGGGGTCGCTCTCGTTTTGATGCGGTGCAGCGCCTTTGGCGAGTACTTGAGAGCGGGCAATGTTGTCATTTTGAGGCGAATTTAATTTTGTGGTTAAAGCGCGGGATTGGGTCGTGACCCAGATAGAAATTTTTTTTATCTTTTTTCATTGAGTTGACTTGAGTATAAAATTTAAGCATGATATGGGGTCTTAACCCAGATAAGACAATTTTTCCCCCTATATTTCTTCTCGGGGAAATATTGTACCTCTCCGTAAACATTTCCGGTGTTTTTACAACAGGAACTCTGATTTTTTTCTTCCTTTTATTTTTTTTTTTTTTGGGGGGGGGAGGGGGGACGTTCAACTTTATTTAAACAATCGCAGTGTTGTCGCAGTCGCAGCTTTTTACCCTGCTCGTTTTCCTTTTGGTCCTCTGGTTATTTTTAAAAAAAGTGCGGCATTTTAAAATGTGTGTAGTTTTTTTTCATAAGCTCAAGATATATTTCACAAAATTACTGAATTGTGGACGACGACGATTTGTTGACGAGCAATAGTAAGATATTTTCTCCGCATCAAGTTCATAAAATGTTGGAAATCGTAGATTAAAAATTGGGGGAAAAAACTTTCCCGACAAAATATTCTCCTCAAAACACAGTTAAAGTTTCTGAGATTTAATAGCATCATCGCGACATCTACAGGCTTCAGGAAATATTTCCAACATTCCGTGAATCATTAAATAAAACAAATAATAACACAGAATTGACCGCTTTTGCGAAGCTGTTCAGCAATTTGTGTCATTAAACTTTTGAGTTGTTCTCTACTTTCCCAAAGCTCTGCGAGCTGAGTATAAGAGGATGAATGTGAGATAAAAGCCTCCTTTCCCACTTCCTTTCTCCGGCCTCTGCACCACACCTTGTGGTTACCCCTCCTTTCCCACTTACTTTCTCCCGCGCCCTGCAGCTTCCCTTATTCATTCAATTACTAAACATTATGTACCACGATCGATCATTACAATTTATCTACGGTAATCTCTGTTGGTCTCGGTCAAGCACGAGGAGGGCCGAAATCTACCGCACATTTTGCGAAAACCACCCTCAACTTCTCAGAAACCACTTTAAGTCATTGAGTACCCCCTGGGAAATTAATTTATGTCCTTGATCGGCAGAAAAACCCGGGGATTAATGAGCAAAATCGCAACCCCGCTCGAGAAGAGGCAGTAGCTTAAAGCCTGCAGAATTTATTACATCACGTTTCTCTGTGTCGAACTTTTACTGTCCTCCAAGCCCGCCCGCCCGCCCGCCACCCGACCACCCCCTAACCTCTCCCGCTCATCTTGAGCTCTCGGGGAGCCAGATTGGCGGGNGAGCCGATAAGACGAATCCATTCATTCGCCCGCGGATTTCCACGGGTTTCAGAACGATCTTAGAATAGTGAACGTTACATCAGCGATATGTATCGATTAATTCTTATTGATAACATTAAGATGAGTTATTTTATTTTTATTGTTTGGATCCAATCCGATGTAACGGAGAATCCCCGCATGGTGGCCTAATCGCGTTTGTACAGGGTAATTCAAGGTTAAACCGCCAGAATGCAGGAGTGTGTTTTATGAGTCGGAATAAGATATTTTTCTGTGAAATTTTTCTAGAGGTGCTTCATAAAGGGGGCTACAGCCCCTTTTCCTCCCAAAGTTTTGAAAAATAAGTGAGTTTTCCTACTTTTTGGCGACGGTTTGCAAAATATTTGCATTAGGACCTAAAAATTAGTTAGACAAAAAACTGTGTCGGACGCATTGGTAAAGTGGACAAAATTAGGTTTAGACGAAAAAAAGGGAACGAATCGTCCTAAAACCGAACTGAATCTCATGAAAGTGGAAATGCGCCCACAATTTGATGAGCCAAATTCATTGGTGACATTAGAAAAATTGAAATATTTCGGTTCGCTTACATCGACCTCCTTGATTTTCGCCTAAAAATTTGAAAATTAATTATTTTCTTCAATTTTTTTCCGTTTGTTTTTTACTTTTCATGTAATATTATCAAAGTTGACGTTTATCAAATCCACGCAAGAATCCATGATAATAATATGAGGCCTTATATGTAACAATATACAAACAACAAACAACAATAGCGGATGTGAAAAATTACCTTTTCGAAACACGCTTAAAAAACTGTTTTGTTCACACAAAAATTTAATATGTTTGGCTCTGGCATGATGTACAGATCTCGAAGATCACATCTCAAGAATTTTCTCAAAATTTTCTCGATGCTAAAACAGTTTTTTGGATGTGTTTCGAAAAGGTAATTTTTCACATCCGCCATTATTGCAGATAAGTCCTCATATACGCATTTCAAGAGAGAAGAGGGGAAAAAGCCCGCCGCGGTGTTGCAGAACAATGAACTTTTTGATTTGAACCTACGTCAAATCTGCGGCGAGAGAACCATGCATGCCCCAAGTTCGAAAGCGTAACGTGGGTTGGGAAACACAGTTGGCGTAAACATACTTCAGAAGTAGTTCGCGAACGTATAAACTTCGCTTTCGAGGTTGTACAAACTTTCGCGACCACTCATCATTATTTTCGCGACCTCTCAATGGCGACCGCAACCGCGGATAAACCCAAGTGAACTTGCTCAACACACATCGATGGGGAAAGTCTCTAAACACGTTCCGCGATCATGAAGTTCCTGTCTGTTCATTTTTCTGAACGGGTATTTTATTCAATCGTGCTTCGTGGCATCGTAAAGTGACGTTCAAAATGGTTGTCAAATCTGAACTACTGACACCCCATTTTTGTACAGGGGGCGAAGAAGATGATGGAAACGTCACATATATATTATAATTATCGGAATTTGAGCTTAATATTTCCAGAGACGGGTGACTGCTACGCTACTACTTCGCTCTGTTGAACATGAACAATATGAACATCGTGCCCAAAAAAAATGTATTAGGGATTATTCCCTTAAATTGTGGTATTACCCCATTCTTTGGATGGTACTTCCACTAAATTGTGATAGTAGTGCAACATTCGGGTTAGTAACCTAATTTATTGGGGTACCGCCACAATGGACCACTAGACAAGGTACGAATTTCAGCATTCTGATACATGTTTTGTAACTAAAATTTCACGTAGAACACAATGCGCACATAGAAAATTACCGAAATTAACTCCTTACGAAGATATTTAATGATTCTTGATGCGTGAATTCAAACCACCCGCTCATTAAAACTCAATGCTCTACGTAATTCACATCGCGCGCTAAACGTTATCATGACAGTCTCTGCGATGTAAAAATCTGGCAACCTCAGTCTTGACGCTTTGGCTCAGCTGTAGAAAATTGCTTATAGTTTGAACAACTTATGGTGGAAAATGAACATTGCTCGATTGAGAGGCTTGCAGAAACCGTTGTAGTGCGCGATTTGATTCACGTAGAGCTTTGAGTTTCTTGTGAGCGGGCAGTTCAAATTCCTCGTAATCAATAAGAAATAAAAACGTTAATATCTTCGTTAGGAGTTGGTTTCAGTAATTTCTGGTGCGCGAGTCGTGTTTCACGTGAAATTTTGGTTAAGAAACATGTATCAGAATCCTTTAACTCGTACCTTGTCTAGTGGTCCATTGAATTGAAATGTCCATTAGGTAGGTATGCGTTTTCATGAAGGATAAAAGGATGTCTGCATGGGTTTAAGTTATCAGTTATTAATGGTGCGGATCTTAATTGGTAAACATCGAGGCTCATACATTTTTTGAAATTGTGTTTACAGAGGGCTCTCTCTAATAAATCAAAATTTTTCTCAATTAGACCGGACTAAAAAGAAAGTTCGATCGTATGAGTTGAATGTTTGCTTTACCATACGGATCGAACGATTTGGTTTTTTGGTTTGGTTGCGTTTCGTCGGATATAGAATCGAACATCTGAATTACATTTTGCAATAGGGAACCACTATTTCTGGCCCATTTTAGAGACAACATACATGCCGTTGGTTTCTCTATGCAGATATATGTGCTTTTACGGGAGAGCCAGAGATAGTGGTTCCTTGTTGCTAAATGTCAAAATCATATGAGCCGAATGTTTGGTTTGACAAAGGGAAATTTCGATTTGAAGAAACAGACTATAAGTTCGATCTAAATGGAACACCAGATATTCTGCTAACACTATCGAACTTCCGTTTTTTTCAGTACTATATAGCAATTCACTCTCGTGAAACCCTGTAGTAGCCACTGCCACATATTTGCAAAAATAATTCACAACAGACCCTTGTTATTTCTACTCCCTATTATTCGTTATTTGCTCAGTGACTGAACTAAATTTTATGGCTCGTGAGTCGTAAAGCAGTTCTTTCGCGAGAAAGGGAGAAGAGAGAGGTACTGCAGATTTTAATGATGAATCTATAAAAAATAAACGAATATAGAAGTCGCTTTTAAAAGTTCTGCTCAAATCATGGATTAAACTTCCTTCTTGGAAAGAAATGGGTTCCGAAAACGATAAAAATATGGTTTACAATCTCTCAACTTCTGACAAACCATTAAATAGAAGGCAATAAGGGCTGTGGGAATATGGATATCATTCCATTGAAAGTCATAACTTGACATGATTTTTCCTGTTTATTGACTTGAGTTATTTTTCTTTTCTATTCAAAAATTTTCGGGATTATCACGTACGAGTGGGCGAAAAGTTAGTCTATCGTTTAATTATTCTCTGTCCATCAACATCAACTAGCCAATGAGAGAAAGGTCTATCTTTTTCAATAGTTTTAAATTTCCATGTACACGTTTTGGTCATAAAATTGATACCAATACTATTAAAGAGCGGAGTGGCCACATACAAAAATTAAGAATTCAAATTTCCTCATTTTTCAGGTCTTCCCCGAAAAATTTCGGGAAAATTCCAAATTTTCGGGGACAATGTCGGTTGATAAATAACGGTTTCATAATTTTCCGATCCATCTTTAGAAAATCTACAATTATTCGTATTTCCGTGAACACAACTTCTCTAAATTTCGGATAATTTCGCTATATTTCTCTGACTTTTTCCAATTTCAATTCGCCTGACTTTCCTCTGTTTTACAAATTCTTTTTGACCTTGATCCCTACCCTTTGTATGCCTTGGTCTTTTGCCCTGTAGAAAAAAAGGGAGAGTAGAGAAAAATCACAATCGCTTCGTAAAATTTCAAGTCTCAACAGCAATATTTTCCCGGTAAATCGGTTTGTTTGACTGAAATATTCAGGACTGACACGGAATTTAGAAAATGAAATTATCTGACGTATCCCTGATACATTTTGGTGAAATTCCCTGACGATTGCAGATATGCCAGATAGTTAATAGGACATTATTAGGAATAGTTTCCAGACAAAGTGTGTTGTTCGAAACGTCAAATCCATTCCAGACAGCAAACAAAGGTGACCCAACAATTTCCCCTGACATTTCCAAGTTTCCTCTGACTTTTCAAAATCCTCCGATTTTCCCGGTATTCCCTGACTGTGGCAACCCTGAATAATGCAACGTCTGAAAGCTCATGCGATGTTCTTTCTTAGCACGGAAGAATAGAGTGGCAAATTGGGTGTGCGACGTATTTCCCGATGGCGCGCCGACTGACGACCGCGCAATTAAAGGAAATTAGTTCTCAACCCCCTACCCTTTCACCCCCTCCTACCCCCGCGACGCTCGATCGCGCGAGGAAGCCCGCGGAAATTTTAACTGGCAATTTCACTCGCAGGGCGAATTAGTTCTCGACGGTCAATTTGGATCCGTCCCGCTCATTTCAACACCGTCTGCCATCTGGTGCTCGATCCTCCCTTGTCAATTTGTCCGGGGAGTAATTGAAATATGGCGACAGGTGAAAGAGAGACAAAGATTGGACGGATTACATTTACATTTAATGGACTCTTCCAGCCCTTAAGTCGAGACAGCATTATTGCTTATTACGACCGAGTCACTTTCGGTTACAAATAAAGATGACCCAAATGTTTTCGCTCTCACTTGACTCCTATAAAATTGTCCTTATTCTCGTATTCCGAGAGTCGTGAAATATCATATCGTTTTTCTCAAATCTTTTCTAAATATGGGGGAGAGGGGAAGAAAGTCGGTTTAGATTTTGGAGACAAATTTAATTTCGTGTTTTCATAAAAAAATCAATTTAAGAATTTGAAATAAATTGCAAACTACTTCGTAAATCGGATCAATGGCTTGAATTGTAGAATTTTGTTGCGCTCCACCACAAAAATAACGGGATAAAAGGAGGATGATTCTGATGTAGGTAAATATCTAATCGTTTGGCTAGGAGATATTTTCAAACGCTCAGATACTTCTTCGTTTTCTCCAAATTTGCATTGAACTTCTGCATAAAATCACGCTTTGATTTCGTACAATTGAATGTGTGGATTTTAGATATTCTACGTCAGCGCCACGATGAGCCAGCAGTTCTGAAACTGTCAATAACTATGTTCTTTTTTTCTCACTTGATCTTGCAGAGGAAGATTTTATCCCATCTTCTAAACCTAAAAATCGAGTATTTTAAGAGACGGAGTAATTTCTAACGTGACAATTTTCAAATAGAATTCTGTCCGACACAAAACACAGCTTTCGAGTCTGTCCAGCAAACTTTCTGAACTTTGTAGATTTTCTCGATAAGTTCTTTTCCTGTTTCTCAGAGCTACCCGCTTTTTCCAAAAAAAAAGTTTCTACCCTGTCCTTCAACACCTTCATTCATGCAGAGCTTGAAATTCAATTTAAAGAGACCACACCGTGCATGTGGTCACGAAATTCTATCATTGTTTAAGGCTCTCTCTCTCTCTTCCAATCTCCTTCCTACAGCTATCCTCGAAAATCTACCGTGTCGGTTTCTATGGTTTTTTAAAGCTATCAACAGACCATTTCTAGTTTTTTTTTTTTTTTTTTTTTTTTGAACTCCCCGTAAATCGAAAACCACGCATCTTAGAGGATTTTGGTTAAGGACTTTTCTGTTTGATTTGAGCCATAGAACAACCCCTGAAAGTTTTTCGCCACTCAGTTGTTACACACTGTATAAGAAAATGGAAAAATGTATGATCGAATGATACTTACTTCATCTGTGACTTGTCCTGCTCGCATTTGGAGCTCCTGGAGCTCCGTCCGGGGCGGCTCTGGCGCCGGCGGGCCATCTGGATTAGATGGCGCGGGCATTGCGGTGTTTTACAACTGCAACACACGAAAAAACAAATTCATTAGACAGGTGCAATCAAACAGAAACATCCATAAGTCTATCAAAGATGAGGAGATGACATGCCACGGAAACGGAAGGCAATTTTAGGTACAGTCGCGCACGGGGGCCGTCCACAAATTCAGCTACTCTCAATTGGACTGCATTTTGCAATTTAGAACTGTAAATTCTGGCTCTTCTAAAAAAAACACGTGTGTGCATAGGGAAACTAATGGCACATACGTTGCTTTTTAAACCGGGCTAGAGTTTATAGTTCCTTATTGCAAAATGTAGTCTAATTCAGCTACTCTTAATTGGACTGCATTTTGTAATTTGGAACTATAAATTCTGGCTCTTCTGAAAAAAAAAAACACATATGTGCATAGGGAAACTAATGGCACAAACGTTGTTTTTAAACCGGGCTAGAATTTATAGTTCCAAATTGCAAAATGTAGTCCATTTCTCAAAACCCAAAGGACACGATTCTAGTCAAAGGTGGAAGCCATACCAGCGGTGAAACTGCAACAATTCCTATCTCGGTTACGGTGTTTCAAAATCCCCGATACTATTTTATTTTTCAAAAAGAGACCGAACCAACATCATGGCTTGAGGTTTTCACTTTAATTGGCTTGAAATTTACAAAGAATGATGCTCAGTTGTTTTCCAAGTAGAAAATAAAGTATGACAGGAAGTTTGCAACGCCACAAACTGCAAAGAAAAAGCATTTCTGAAGTTTCACCATCATTAGGTACACGTTTTGTGAAAAGGACGATAGCCACTTTTCACAGGACAAAAAATATGGGTCGTGAAGACAATTTTCGTTCAAAAAGCCTGGAGTTTGTTTTATTTTTCACTGGGGGGTTTTATAATTTTCAAGGAAACACCCAGATATGTAGAAACATTTTGCCTGGCAATGAAACTATTTTTCAAGGAAGGAAAAAAAAGATGAAAAAAACAAAGCTAGTGACACGCTGATTGTGGAAATGGAATGAGTGACATGTGCTCAATAAAAAGTACTCGGCCATTCTTCCTGGTGCAAACGGCGCAAAAAACACTATTGCTCCAAAAATAAGGTCGTATAAGCGTCACTGAAAGTTTCATTTTAATAAAAGCGTAAAAGTAACATGCTTGTTCCGACACTTCGATTACCAAAAAAGCTTGAAGGGCATACGTTTTGTAAAAGGGATGTGAGCTAGTCTTCCCGCACAAGTAAGCTATTCTTTCTTCACAAAAATGATGTAAAGGCTGAGAATACTGGTCAGAGTGTGCAACCATGCGCCCAACTGGGATGTCGCCACTCGAAAAACACCAAGTATGATGTCGGGAAAAATAAATGATGTTTCTCCTACATTCATTCTGTCAGCCAAAACTGAATACAATTTAGGAATATAAAAAATTGGTTTGGAAATGACAGGAGAATGAATGTATGCCTGAGAATATGTGAGGAGGTCTCATAAGATTACTGCTGCAGGGCTGGAAAAAATGCAGAAAATCCAGAATTTTTTGACCAATTTTAAAAATAAATCTTTCTATTTCAAGTTTTAAAAATCCTCGGCTACGTGCGATTTGGAAGAAAAAAATATTTTTATTCCTTGGGACCTGATTTTGCATATAAATAGTACCTCGACGCGTAACCAGTGTTGTCGGGTGATAAGCGAAAATTAATTCATCGCAGTCGAAAGGCCGAGGACACTTCACGATCCAGCATTCCGCACGTGGATTATCAGATTGTGAATCTTTTGAAGCGGAGAAATCGATTTTCCTCCGTGCTTCGTTCCCTTTTTCTCGAGACTGATTAGGAAAAAATCACACGAAATAAGTGGAATATTTGCAATGCAAATGCCCTCGTCTTCGATCGTCAAAATGCAGAAGGGATGTCGTAAAATAAGAAAAATAATTGAACGTCAAGTCTCTTTGACGTTTCCCAAAGGCAGAGAGCTCTTCAATTTGTGATTCGTATTATCAGACATCCTGCGCTATACGCTATCTCACGCCGCCCGACTGTCCTACTCGTTTTTTAAAAAAAGAAAAAGAGAAAAAGTATTTTTTATGCATCTTCCATGTCTCAAAATACTGCGCGATGAAGTTTTAATTTTTTCTTTTGTTCTTCACGAGTGACAATGCAAATGTAAACGTATGTTTTTGGTCGAGTTGTACGAACCAGAGTGAACTTTTCCCAGTCTAAACTTAGGCGAACTCAGAGGCGGATCCAGCAATTTGGCAACGCCGAATTCCTCCATTTAAACCTATGCTAAATAATCGATTCTTGTCGGAGCACCCGGCCCCTTCAGAAATCGATACATTTTCATAGGTTTAAAGGAGGGAATCCGGTGTTGCCAAATTGCTGGATCCGCCAATGGGCGAACTGATTATTTATTCCGGGCAAAATTCCCGAACTGTTTTAGGTTCTTCGTTACTCTACAAGAACTTGTTACACTGAGTAAAGGAACGGCACGTTATGATTTTAAAAAATATCAAATTATTTTCCACCGCAAAAATAAAATGAGAATTTTTTTTTCGCTCATTAAGAATTTTCTCTACAAATTCCATTCGAAAAATTAGTCCGCTTCCTTTCCAAAAAAAAAAATAAATAAATAAATAAGAAAAATCGGAGAGTACGCAATACCACATCCGAGATGGAGAATTTTGTAGGTTTGACCGTCAAAAAATTTTAAACTGAAGCGAAAAAAACATGTACCTTCATGTACCACATGGAGAACCAAATCCATTGATTACAACTCTTGAAAAGATACACGCAAAGAAGAAAGAGGGTTAAAAAAGTCTAAACAATCGGATTTCAAAAATTCCTGACTTTTCAGAGATTTTGAACATAAAATTCCCTTACATTACTTACAATGTTTTCTTCGACATGAATTCTCAAAATATTAACTTTATTAAAAATTTTAAGTACGAGGTCCCTCGAAATAGGAAAAATACAATGTTTTGGCTGGGGGAAAAAGTCCAAGTTCTGCAGCAAGTTTCTCTAACATTTCCGGGTTGAGCAAGAGTACCTGACTTTTTCAGGTCCCTTTACTTTTCGAGCACTTACTACACTCAAAAAACAAGTATGGGAAGTATGACTTGCCAGCCGAGTTATGGATCATGGAGCCATGAAATATAGTTCGTGGAGCTATGCTTATAAGTTCACGACCAATGAAGTATGGCTCAGAAAGCCATACTGTAGACGGTAAGTCACTTTGGTTAGAAATTATGGATCTCCGAGCCATTTTTTATGGGTCTCGGAGTCATACCTTTTTTTGAGTGATACCCTAAGAAATAAGAGGATTTCAAGAAATATTCCATAATTTCCACATAGGAAATTAGAAAGAGACGACAAGTTTCATCATCGCGAGGCGGCATACGAACTTTTCTAGTTCCTCGATCGATACCCTCATCGGCAACGTTCTAATAACGCACTTAGACCTCTTGGCCTCGAAGCCCCTCGTTCATTCTAGACCCGCACGATTGGGAACCCCCCCCCCCCCTTGTGAGTGGGCGAGAATCGAACTACAGCAACAGTTCCCGGAAACGGCACGCAACTTAGAGGGGCCAATTATTTTATCATTCATTCAAGTATTTCTCACATCAATACTGCTGCGGCGGCCGCGTTGGCTGCGCCCGGGGAACTTCCCAGAAAAGCGCAGCGCGACAGAAATAGAAGGAGAAAAGTGACGCGAGAAAAAGGACTTGCAACTTGCGAGTGGCGTGGCGTGAAATGCGATGTATCGATTGTTATGCCATTTAAACCTACGGTAAAGGATCGAGTATTTAGGAGTTCGCTGCGAACACCCTGCTTGTCGATCCTTTTCCATAGGTTTAAATGGCATAACAATCGATAGATCGCAATTCACGCCACGCCACTGAACTTGCAGGGAGTGCTCCCACTTGCGGGTCAATTAAAGTTGGTTCTTGGCTGGAAGCCTTACTTCGAGGGCAATCATTGTTATGCGAATTATTGAAGTGAGGGCTTTCTCTGCGTGGTCGTAGAATTTTCCATCTCCACCTACAAATTGAGTACAGTTGAGGTGAGAGAGCGCCGAGAAAAAGTTCGGTCATACAGTGCTCCCATTTCCCGGAACTTGTACCGAATTCCGGAACTTTTAAGATTTTTCTGAATTTTTCCCGGAACTTTAAAAATTCCCGAAATGTTCCGGATCTTTCATATTTTCCGGAACTTTCTCGGGACTTTTGAAAAAATCTGAAAAGATTCCCGCGGAACTTCTGACAGTAATAAAGTGGCAGAAATTGGAACAGAAAAGTTCCGAGTCCCGGAACTTTTGACGAACATGAAATGGACTGCATTTTACAATTTGGAACTATAAATTCTGGCCCGGTTTAACAACAACGTATGTGCCATTAGTTTCCCTATGCACATAAGTGTTTTTTCAGATGAGGCAGAATTTATAGTTCCAAATTGCAAAATGTAGTCCAAATGGAAGCACTGAGTCATATCATCGTTTCCTTCACGGAAAAACGTAACTACATGTCGATGTTGCCGAGTTTCCCCTGGCAAATAACAATTATACCCTGTTCATCTCGAGCATTTCAAACTGAAATTTCACCTATTTTTCTTCTGATTTCATGCAAAATCAGTAAAATTCCGGGGGAAATCGCACAGGGACATCCTGGTAAAAAATTGAATTACTTGAGTCAATTTTGCAACCTCGGAATTGTGATAAGTTTCTTCGTCGGGTAGAAGACGTTAGAAGCCGTAAATACGGTGTTGAATATCAGCCGTGCTATTCGGTTTATGTAACCGTGCTCCAGGTTCCAGAAATCGTATCTTCGGATCATGCAGCCGGACTTTTGAATCAAGCCAAACTATGGAAAAACAGGGTCGGATTTACCTACTTGCCGCCATGGGCCGCCTGTATTATGCCGCCCCCTTCTCATTCGCTTTGAAACATCAATAAAAAACTATCAAATGAACGTGCCAGCAGGGGAGGGGTGTATACGCCGCGTTTACTCCTGTTGAACACATCTTTTGGGAAAGCCCTGT